ATTTCCACAGAGCAAATTTGATATAATGAACTGTAAGGATCCAGCATAGGACATCTTTCCCTCTGTTTTCCTTAAACATTTGATTGTGCAGAAGAGAGATTTCTCCAAGGGACGAATAGTAACACCTGAAATTAACTGCTGTTTTAAAACATCCTTTGGAGAACACACAAGCACACAAATATTATTTTTGCCCGGTGATTTTCCCTTCTCCACTTAAAGCATTTGAAATCTAGGGGCATACTCTCTTAACTAGTACACCTGAGTTGGGTGTATAAAGAGTAAGGTAGTCAGGATACCCTATAATGTTTCTACATCAATATTGGAAGATCCCAAAATTTTGCACACTAGTTAGGGTTTAAAAATATTAGGTAAATAATTTCAAGCCTTTTTTTTTTCTTTTTTTTTTTTTCTTTGTGGAAATTTTTAAGGATTTTGTGTTCTTAATTGAGTGAGAAAGAGGTTAGAAGTCAAAAGCTGTGACCTGGAAAATGAGGGAGAGAATATTTTAATCTGTAGGTAATAGCAAAAATTGTGTGATTTTTTCTAAGATAGCATTCTAAACCATCCTTTTCCTTGAAGACGCATTTATATAATTATTATGTTCACAATAAAGCTATGCACAGCAAGCATTTTCAATGATATATTGAATAGAAGAAAATTATCTACGCAAGGATATTTGCTTTCCTTGAAACAGCTAAGACTGTGTAAATATTTAACTATAATTATGCTAAAGCACTATTCTTTTATGCCACAGTCACTCACAAAATACAATCCTATAAATGCCTTTCCTGAGATTTGTTACATGCTGGCTTTTGGTCTTATGGGAACAAATCTCTCTCACTGCTATTGATCTGTTCTTTAAATTATTCTCCCATGAGGCTTTCAGCTAAGAGCATCTTTTCCTTGAATCTCTTTGTATTTTTAATTGGCTTATGTTTGTTTAAACAAAATCACACCAGTGCCTTAGGCTGCAGCCATTGACTCATTGCATTCAAAACCAGACACACTGTACTCCAGCAGCCTTCACTTCTGTCCTCTACTGGACTCATCTCTTTGGGGATGAAATCTGTCACAGGAAAAAAAAAAAAAAAAGGCATACAAAATTGCCTTTGGACAGGGTTGCTAGGGACGTAGCTGGGATTTGCATAATGCTGTTAGAGTCCTAAAGATGAAAGGAAGAGTAGATTGTGCCATTTATCTGCAAGTTCTGGCTAGCGGGTGGTGAGGAGACACAGCCCCAGGAGGAGTGCTGGAGAGACAGTGCCTTGGGCAGGCCCAGTCACCCCGTCCCACACTGTCCCCCAGGTGTGGGGAGAGGCCCTGAGCATTTTGCACTTGTCTCTCTGATGGCATTGGGAGCTTTCTGCTGGTCCCACTTCCCCAGTGAAGTGGGGCTGTAAGTGCTGTGGGCTCAGCTTTCCCTGAACCTCGTTCATCAATGAATACAGGGATGATTGGTTTCCAAGCTCCCCACACTGAAAGGAGCCCAAGCACTGCTATTGTGTGCTGCCCTTGTGCCACTGTACAAAGAGGAAAAGGTCCTTATTTCCCCTCTACCCCTGCTTGCCGGGGCGAAGAGGGTTCAGAGCCAGAACCCAAAATAAGGTAGACAGTATGGGTGGTGAAAGCAACAGATAAAAGCATTTCTTGTAATTCAATTTTTTTTTCTCATGCACTTTGATCCCAGATTATTTTTGAATAGTGTGAAATGAAGCATATTCAGGGATTTTTAACTTTATCCTATTCTCTTAACTATTTCCAGTCAATTACCAGCTGGTGAGGCACTTTTCTTCTTTCATGGCATAAATGGAAGAGGAAAGAAATAAAGTTCTTTTCATATTTTGTTTCAGTTTATTTCAGTATGAAACCAAGTCTTTGGAGGCTATATGGGCATTCTAAACACAGTTAGGTTTCGGTTGTGTAGCCTACCTCCATGCAATGCAGCCTGACACAGCATTTCCTTCATGTTACTCAATCTCTGGAAGGAATAAGTCCCTAAAACCCCTTGGTCCTGAATTTTAGGCTCTAGCACGGATGCTCTTATTCTGACTCCTGATCCAAGCCACACCCTGCATTATGGATACTTCATAGTGAGGAAGGTATGCTACTGTAATTTCCAACCACAGCATCATAATGTCATTAGCCACTAAATGACTGGTGAATATGGCAAATGTGAAACTGCTTTTCACTGAAGTCTGTAGTACTAGAAGTGAAGGGCACTCACTTAAACTAACAGATTGACTAAAGTAGAGGAAAGTACTTCCCTGTGCAGCCAGAGGTGAACATGCAGAAGTTACTTCCACTGCAGGTTGTGGAAAGAGTTCAAATTTCACAGAATTTCACAGAATTCCTAGGTTGGAAGAGACCTCAAGATCATCGAGTCCAACCTCTGACCTAACACTAACAGTCCCCACTAAACCATATCCCTAAGCTCTACATCTAAACCTCTTTTAAAGACTTCCAGGGATGGTGAATCAACCACTTCCCTGGGCAGCCTGTTCCAATGTCTAACAACCCTTTCGGTAAAGAAGTTCTTCCTAACATCCGGCCTAAAACTACCCTGGCGCAATTTAAGCCCATTCCCCCTCATCCTGTCACCAGGCACGTGGGAGAACAGACCAACCCCCACCTCGCTACAGCCTCCTTTAAGGTATCTGTAGAGAGCGATAAGGTCGCCCCTGAGCCTCCTTTTCTCCAGGCTGAACAAGCCCAGCTCCCTCAGCCGCTCCTCGTAGGACTTGTTCTCCAGGCCCCTCACCAGCTTTGTCACCCTTCTCTGGACCCGCTCAAGCACCTCGATGTCCTTCTTGTAGCGAGGGGCCCAAAACTGAACAAAGTACTCGGGGTGTGGCCTCACCAGAGCCGAGTACAGGGGGACGATCACCTCCCTAGCCCTGCTGGCCACACTGTTTCTTATGCAAGCCAGGATGCTGTTGGCCTTCTTGGCCACCTGAGCACACTGCTGGCTCATATTCAGCCGACTATCAACCATCACTCCCAGGTCCTTCTCTGCCTGGCAGCTCTCCAACCACTCATCTCCCAGCCTGTAGCTCTGCTTGGGGTTATTGCGCCCCAGGTGCAGGACCTGGCACTTGGCCTTGTTAAACTTCATACAGTTGACCTCAGCCCATCGGTGCAGCCTATCCAGATCCTCCTGCAGAGCCTTCCTACCCTCAAGCAGATCGACACATGCACCTAACTTGGTGTCATCTGCAAACTTACTGAGGGTGCACTCGATGCCTTCATCCAGATCATCGATGAAGATATTAAAGAGGACCGGCCCCAGTACTGAGTCCTGGGGAATGCCACTAGTGACTGGCCTCCAACTGGACTTGACTCCATTTACCACGACTCTTTGGGCCCGGCTATCCAGCCAGTTTCTAACCCAACGAAGCGTGCACCTGTCCAAGCCACGAGCAGCCAGTTTCTTGTGGAGAATGCTGTGGGAGACGGTGCCAAAAGCCTTGCTGAAGTCAAGGTAGACTACATCCACAGCCTTTCCCTCACCCATCCAGCGTGTCACTTTGTCATAGAAGGAGATCAGGTTTGTCAAGCAGGACCTGCCTTTCATAAACCCATGCTGACTGGGCCTGATCGCCTGCTTGCCCTGCAAGTGCTGTGTGATGACTCTCAAGAGAATCTGCTCCATGAGCTTCCCTGGCACTGAGGTCAAACTGACAGGCCTGTAGTTTCCCGGGTCAGTCCTCCGGCCCTTCTTGTAGATGGGTGTCATGTTTGCTAGCCGCCAGTCCACTGGGACCTCCCCTGATAGCCAGGACTGCTGATAAATGATGGATAATGGCTTGGCCAGCTCCTCTGCCAGTTCTCTCAGTACCCTTGGGTGGATCCCATCCGGCCCCATCGACTTGCACACATCCAAGTGCTGTATCAGGTCACCAACCAGTTCTTCATGGATAGTGAGGGCCACATCCTGCTCCCCATCCCCTTCCACCAACTCAGGGTACTGGGTATCCAGAGAAAAACCGGTATTGCTGCTAAAGACTGAGGCGAAGAAGGCATTAAGCACCTCCACCTTTTCCTCATCTTTTGTAACTAAGTTTCCCCCTGCATCCAGTAAAGGATGGAGATTCTCCTTAGTCCTCCTTTTAGTGTTTATGTATTTATAAAAACATTTTTTGTTATCTTTAACGGCAGTAGCCAGATTGAGCTCCAGATGAGCTTTGGCCTTTCTAATTCTGTCCCTGCACAGCCTCGCAAAATCATCATGTTCAAATCAAATCAACAACAAAGGGAGACACTGAAACAAACTGCAAGTATTCTCTATGTTCCAGCATGGCTTTTAAACCAATGGGTGCTGGAGAAGGAGGGGAACAGTGACCCACAGAGAGCATCCAGGCTCATGCTCTTCCCAACTAGAGCTGCCTACTGCTATGACTAGAGACAGAGCATTGAGATAGACGAATCTCTGCTCTAGGCCAGAAGGATATTTTAAATATTCTTGTACCCAAAGGTATTGCCTACAAGCAGCAAATAGTATTCATATTCTCATTGTAATCATATCTAAGATATCCATGTATCTTAGGGTCAGCTTTAGTTACACCCTACACAAGTGTGATACCCAGACAAGTAAGAGGAAATACTAAAACTCTGGAATGTTTGCAGATTAGCTGGGATTGCAGGAGGGAATGCCTGTAGAGAAGAAAAGGAAGGATGGAAAAATACTTTTCACAAATTATACAAATCCCAAACAGTGATACAAATTCACCAACAAAACTGAAATTAATTGTAACAGACTTTTAAATATGAGGGAAAAATAACTGGAATTGCATTGATAAGCTGTTTGGTAAATAATGAAATTTTTAATTAAATCACACTAATCAACAGTATTCTTGGAGAATTATATTCATAGATGCTACATGTTTTTCATAAGCTCAGCTGACATGAAAAATAGGTCATTTTGTATTTCTCATTATTCATTCCAGATTCAAAAGCAGGATAAAGAGATCACTAATACTTTCCAATTAACTATACAAGCAGTATTTTTTTTTTTTTTTTTTTGTCAAAGTGATAGACATAAAAATAAGTGACACAGAACCCTGCTCATAATTATCTTGATCTCAAAATCTTCTTTTGCTATCCATCTACAGGCTCTAAACAAAATCATTCCAAGCTTTTGTGCTGACAATAAGGTTGATAAAAACATTCAGTTAGTGTCAGGTGTCAAAACACAAAAGTTTAATTGAAAGATTTAATTGAATGAAACAGATTTAATTGAACTTTGCCTCTTAAATTACAGACTTGTACTGTTTTCCCAGTGCTACTGGTGGTAATTTCCAAGATGCAAAAATCACATATGATATTTGAAAGGAGTCATGAGGTGACCATTACATACTTTAATTTACAAAGGAAGTGATGAATATGGCTGCATTCAATATAAAGTCTGAATTCAGCTACTTCTAGATTACTAATTTAAATGTGATTTCTTCCCTTAAAGAAAAGTAACGAGCCTGGTGACACAAAGGTTTAAAATATTACTACTGCGAAAGATGATGGAAGATATTTAGTGATGTCATCTTGAGACGTGTACAGATGGCACTGAAAAAAACAACAACAAAAAAAAAAGTTGGATTATTATTGTTGGATTATTATTGTCTGAAAAAAGTTGGATTATTATTGCTTCAGTCATATTTTCTTATTCCCTAGTAAAACAGTTTCTAATGCACCTATGAAAAAACAAAATTCAATTCCCAAGGATACCATTTATATATAGTAATATTAATTTTATATGCAGAAAAGTACTTTACAGAAGTGTGGACTCTGAAGGACTCTGAAAGTGTTTTAAGGTAGTCTTAAAAAACTTTACTGCTTATCACTTGATGACTATGGAGCTGGATGCCAACACTTACAGTGACAAGAAGCTGCCCAGGGCTATGGATGCCTTCCAGCCAAGTGACACAGAAGACATACTACAACAAGCAGAAATAATGCAAAAGGAAGAAAAAGAACACCCTCTGGTAAATTTGTCCCTGACCATTGACATGTCCCATACATGTTAGTCTCCTCTATCCAATTTTATTTCCTTCTCCAATTTCCATTCTTACGAACATTGATGTTTATCCTTGGAATTTTGCTCTGTCAAATCAATGGGAATAGATGTAGGAGTATCAATATGACGAGAATGTGCTTTAGCACTTCTGGTGGACCTAAAAAGCAAAGGGCTGATATCATAGGTGATACTGGAAGTTGAGTGGGCTAACCAGCTCAGCTGTGAGGTGGTATATGCAAAGAAACTATAGTTTTGAACTGACTTCTTCATGACTGTGTGCTTATATTTGTCATTATCTTAAACAACTGACTGAATCAAGACAGGACACATTTAACAAACTGAGCTCCAGAGAACACAAGATCTGACTGAAACAAAGGCAAAGGATTAAGAAATTAAGCTAAGGGATCAGACCAGCAAATTACTATCACACACCACCGCTATTCAGTGTCATCTAATGCAAACCATGTGTTGCGGCTTTTATACTGCTTTCTTTTACATCACTTTTTGTACATCCTCCTTTACTAGTTTATGTATCCCTCTTGCATATGCCGAGTGGATTTTTGGTGTAATACTTGGTTGCTAAAAGTGCACGTGTGTCACAACATGGCTGAAAGCAATTGATTGCTGAATGGTGCCTGCAGCAAAGCAGTCCTGGTCAAGGTTTTCATGTACCAAATTTAGAGAAGAATCTTTCTGTCCCTTGGATCCAATGCTTTCTCTTTTCTATTCACAACTGACGCTTTTAAATAAACACTACCAAAGTACTGTTAATGAAGATCACCAATGCAGCCAGAATCACATTCAGAAATTTACTGTCACAGAACATAAACACAAGCTAGACAAAGTCCTCATGGAAAAATTAGGTGTAATAAGCACTGGGCAAAATTTAGACTAATGATAAAGTCACTTCTGGAGGAAAGGAAATAAATATATCCCCTATTGAAGCTTATTCAGAAAGAATTGCTAGTCCTTGGCTCAAAGTACTGTTATGTTGGAAGTACATTCAATGTTTTTCCTCCCAATCAAATATTTTTCTTCTGTGGATCAATGCTTTTATTTTCCTTGACAGGTATAAAATAGGTAAGTAGCAACAATCCACAGTACCGAAGTCTTATGCCTGCAAATGTTATAGACATTTAGAAAATCAACCTCACATATTTCGTTCTTGTGAAAATTATCGCCTTGTAAACCAAAGCATCTGTGGAAACCACGGAATGTCTGATAAGAGTGAAAAAAAAAAAAAAAAAAAAAAAAAAAAAAGGAGTTAGATGTTAGGGTTGAATACTGTCCATTTAACATGTATAACAAGTCTCTCAATTCAAAGGAAATTATAGTCAATAGTCAACATCTAGTTTATATTTTCCTGACTCTTGCTTTGAAGTGGTTTCAGTTACATACTCTTAATAAAAGGAAGTTTTAAGAGCCTTCTTGTTATGTCTGCTGTAAAAGAAAAGCAGATGGAAACTGAATGTTCAAAGATAACTGAATAGGAATATTTTTATATATTTGTATAAGAAAATTATAGGGAATTATTTATTCTCAGTAGTTAATAAAACCAACTGAAAGTGCTAATGAAGATAAATGTCACTCTTGGGTTAGTATCCACACCTCTTTGTTACTTGGGTTTGCAGAATATCTGGTCACTGGATTCAGCCCAGTGATTCAAAAGCAGAATTCAGCAGTGGTATTGAAGGAGGCTGCACACTCAAATTTTGCAGAGGTTTTCCACAAGAAGGTGAGATGATCACAGAAATGACCACCCTCTTCTCTTCACATAATTCAAATGAACTCCTCTTTTGTCCAATGTAGTTTGCATGGTGATCTGGGGGTGTGGTGACATCCTGCCTTCTGGAGGATGCTCTGCAACTGTCATAAAGGGGAAAAAAGTGTCAGGCAGCTCAGTCATGGGTCCTCAAGTTAAAGATCAAATGTGGCCACATACAGCAGAGGATGGTGCAGTGGCTGAGGGACGAGGTGGGAAAATTGTAGGAGGGAGTTTTGGAAGGAGACAGAGGTGCCAATGGCAGAAGTTTTGAGGGTGAACTGTAAGGTAGAGAGAAGCAATAGGCAATTTGCAGCCTAAGTTTTCATTCCAGAGGAGAAATAAAAATCTTCATATGATCTCAGATAAAAGAATTATCTTTAAGCAGAGGAAGTGAGTTTATTCCAGATGTGTTTGACAGCATGAGAACAGAAGTGGAAGTAGTGTTTTTGGTCAGGAGCCAGTACTGGGGATTAGTCAGGTGGAGAGCACTGAGAGGGGAGAGAGCACAAGGGTGGGAAGAATTGAAAATACAGGCTCTGGCATCAAGCAAAGGGAATGAAAACAAAGAGGAAAGGAAAGGAATTAGAGAAGCAGAGAAATCAAAGGGAGGTTTAAGAGCAAAGCCAGCTTCGGTAGAGATCACAAGGAAAGAATAAAACCAAGAAGGAAAGGAGAATAAGAGCTACTGAGGGAGGGATATTGGTGGTTATGGGGAGGAAATAAAGGGACTGGAGATAATTTGAAGCTAGTTTTCAACCAGTGAAGATGAATCATTCAAACTTTCCCACGTTATGCCCTACAGAAAAGGTTTTACGATTACCATTGATCTGTGCATACATACTGTCAGTTCTGTCGGTCTTTCTGATTTCAGATTCTTTTTTCTTCCTTTTTCTCTCTCAAAGCTACCAACTAAGGTCTTTATTTTTATAAGTGTCATTCCCTTGCATACAGTCTTCCTTGTTCCTACTTTTCAGCACATAGTCAACACACTCTATTGTTTGCATTTTTGCTATGCCAGACTACTTCTAGACAGGAATCTCTGAGAGGGATTTAGAGGAGCAACAAGCTTTCTGCCATGGAAGGACACCATGGTCAGAACTATTTTTTTGTGTGGAGGCGGTTGATCTGGTCAGTAATTTACATACACAGTTCATAAAAGGGGACATGTTGTATAATCTGAATACCTCTTTTAATAAGGTTATTTAGTTTAGGCAACTCGTGCACCTATATCCATATCCTTCTCTGAATAGATTACAGGAATATATTCTAAGTAGGTGCCCACCAACTTGTATGCATGCACATATGGCTTATGGGCTATAATTGTGTGTTAAGTGTATTAAACTTCAAACACATCTAGACTGAAGGCTGCAATTGCCTTTCAACAGAAAAGTAAACTCTCTGAGCTGTCTGCAAACAGTTTTACTCAGCAGAAGAATGACAGTAATACTGAAATGAGATTCTGATGTAAAAAGAAGGGATAATACATCCTCACCTTGATATCTGGACACCCTGATGCCTCCACAGAAAGATTAAAAACACTGGAGACTAGATCCCAGGAAAGGTGTAATTCTCAGCACTCATTGGTTTAGACAGCTGTTGACATCAAAAATAAAGTAGCTTGTGAGCCCTCTGCTGGTATTTTTTTTGGTTTCTCAGATATTAGTAATATCCTGCCATAGCAACAACAAGCAAATATACTTGGATATATGTGCAGTGGTATATAGGGATTGCTGTGCATATTTACATATACATACATATATGCATACATATACATATGTATGTATATACATATACATCAATATAAATATAAAGAATTGTTAATGGCAGAAATGCATACCCAGGTATATTATGAAAGTCACTGCCAGAGCAAGCAAACTGAAATGTGTAAATGTGTAAAAAATCATTTTCCTATATTGTAAAATTTCATATTATCACCACGCTGCAGACATCCAGACATTGTAACCTTAAAAAATAGATGAACTTAATGGACTGGCATGTTGCACTGAAATTGGTCTCCAGCAAATGTCAGTTAGTAAAACTCTATACTTACTACAACAATTCATTATTAGATTGACTTTATAATATCTCATTTGTGAGGTAAAATTTACATTTTAGATGTTACTTTTTGACAAGTATAATAATCAGATTTCATTTTCAAGGCATTCATTGTTGTATTTGGGGATTTCTGTTTTAAACTTAAACATTGAACAGTTCAACCATTCAACCATTACTATTGGGAGTAGATACAGAAATTCTGGTGTAAGAAAATTTTCATAATTACTCTTTTAGATGTATATGTGTCATTTTTCTTTAGGAAGAACTCTAAGTGGTGAGAGTTTTCAAATTCTGTCATATTTTCACCTCATTAAAACCAATAAATCAATCAATCAAACAAACAAACAAAAAAAACACATTCATGGGAAAAAGAAAAAAAAAAAAAAAAAAAACAGACTGTTAACATATGTTGACTAGTATAACTAAGTCATACATACACTTAGGGTTTAGGGAGATTCTCCCTGCAATAGTCTTTCATTTACACCTTAGTGAACTTCATTTGTAGGCTCTGGAGTAAAATGACTTACTTAAAAATTGATAAATCTGCTTGAGTCTAATCACCCATTTCCTATTGTCCAGTGCAGGTGTTCCATTTTCTGGCACAAAAAAAGTTTGAAATGTCAGTGCTGTGCATTTCATTCAGCAATCCAGTATGTTTCATGTCTGCTCAGAGTCAAGAGTGGTGAGTAGCTACACCTCCCCAGAGAGGGCTAGGAAAGAGCAACATCTCAGGAGGAAGCCCCTGAACTTCTGGTGTGCTTCATGCTGCGGTGCAGCTGTGCTTTTTCTGTTTCTTCAGGTGGGAATAAAATAAATGAATTCCTGGAATTGCAGTGCCTTTAGAGCTCCTGTTCTGTTTCAGGAGGGAATATTTTGTATCAGCTCATCACTAGAGTCAGCCCCCTTTTCCCAACTGTGTTCAGCACTCTTTAAAGTATGTCATTGCTCCTGAATACAGTGGATTGCTATTGCAAAGTTAATCCAAATAGTTTTACTGATAGAATATGGGATACTGAAAGTAGCATTCTTGGATGTCATTTTCAGACTTGTCAGTGTGCTGATAGATGCCTTTAGGAGATCATGAGTGGCTAATTTAAAGATTTCAATGAATTTTGTTTCATGCTTTTAACTCTCTATGCATTAGTCCATGTATCTACAAAATTAGTTTTGAAATATCTGGATTATCTCCCAGAAAAGGCTGTGAAGTTTAGATTACTATTCTTTACCAAGTCCTTTGTTAGTCAACTATTAACCAAAAAGGTAAAATGTGACTGTGATCATGACAACTCACACAGGACACATCTATATTGAACAATAAAGTTAGAAGAATGCTAGAACCACAGTGATATTTCTGACCTTTGAAACTGAACTTCTGATAAGTGATTTCAATGACCTTATGTCTCCACAAGTCTTTGTGCAAGGATAATTCTGTCGGCTTTAGTTTGTCTTTTTTTTTTTTTTTTAGGTATCTCCTCAGCCTCATACCACCTAAAAGCTATAGAGTTAAAATATGTTAGAACTTAAGACCCATACTGAAAGCACTGAGCAATTTTTCATTGAAAATATACAAATAACCAGCACACTGTATCTGACTCTCTCACATATGATTTAGAGTTATTTTGGAATACCATTTGTGAAATAAATAGACATGGGCTTAATTTAGTAAAGCAGTCATTTGTCTTCCACGACTCCAAATTGGAAATCAAAATACAATAAAATTTAAAATGGTTATTAAATCCAGATGGATTTTCAAATGAAAGCAGGACCTATGGTAATGAAAGCCTGTAAAGGGCACTGTCAACTTAAAAAATGTAAACGAACTTAAAATGTTTTATCATCTTTTGTTGTCACGATAATATTTAACTTTAAAACCACAAAACAAATGACTTTTCTTCATTTTCTTTCATTTTCTGTTTTGTAAATTTCTTAATAGTATTTTTTTTCTGTATAGTAACTTAACATAATTTAATTTTATTTTCCTAATTTCAAATTCTATCTACTGAGGTCCGGTGCTTAGGTAAACATTTTAGTATATGTACAGAAATGCCTGTAATTATCTTGTCTATACAGTTTGCTGCAGAAGTTCTCCCTCTGTGCTTACAGAGCTGCAGCAATGTTCTTTGCAACAACCTTGACAGGTAAATATTGCAGGTACTAGTTCATTCTTAGGATACGCAAGATACCTTAATCTACCATTAAGTTCTACCAAAATTGCTCTCCAATAACTTGTTTTTAAGAGATAACCTCATTAGACTTGTGTATTGCAGTGACCTGTATGCTGCTGGAAGAGTCAGGAAACAGCATAGCATTTTGTTTGCATATCACATCATATTTGTGTCCATAACACACAGTGACAGAAATCACTGCAAATCAGGGAGAGTGTCATGGCCTGATACAGCACAACATAAACAGATTTTGAAAATATATAGTGTATATAGTTTCTAGTGTATATAGTTTCATTACATCCTCAATGGAAATGTTCAGGTGTGGAATGGACCAGTATAAAGTCTTCACAGACATCCAGAGGTAAGTCCTCCATAGCAAATGAGTTAGCACAAGTGAAGATCAGGTGACAGAGAAATCAGCACACAGAGAAACATCAGTCAAAATCTTCCTTTTGATGTTTTAACGTAGAACCTTCTAGGTTTCTCCTGAGTTAAAGCACTGGGTTTTAGCTGTTTCTGGAACTGTAGAAAGTGGGAAAGATTATCACAAACAGATAGCAACAAGTCAGCCGCATCACATCGGTCCTTCCTGTTCATTTGTTGGGATAGTACTCCAGAAAGAAGCCACAAATCCACTTTTTAAATGATATATATTATCCTCATATGAAATTTCAGAAGCTAAAAAAGAGAGACACATAAAGATCAGGAAGACTGAACTTTCCCCCTGCCATGTCACTCATCAAAATTCTTTCTCTCTTTGTGTAAGGATTTATATTGCTAGCAACAGAGGAACAGATTAGTTACCCAGAACATCCATTTTGGTTCCTACCTTGTCTAGATGAGGAAGTGTTTGAGCCACATGTGGTAGACCACATCCTTTCTCTTATGCTAGCAGAATGACGAAGGAGCACATCTGGATTCAAAATTTCATTTTCACCCTCAACATTTTTGTATTAACACACTGTCATACTTGATATAAATTGGAAAACACTTAGTCCCGTAGCACTTGATTTTCTGGAAGAAGACAAAGCATGACATTGTGGAGTCCATAAACAGCAGGGGGTATAATTCATAGTAAAGCTATATAATATGTTCCATATACATTGCAGCTGTTGATAGATTTTATTACATTTCAGTTAAAAGCCTTATTACATTTGCAGGCAAGATTTATTATATTTGGTTGTATTACTTCTAAAGTTCAGGATATTTTCACATTTGTAGCTGGCTTATTTCATCTATGATCACTGAGTTTACATCATAAGCTTGTTATAACTGTAGGTTATGAATAATGTCACCTGTTGTTATGACGCTTGCAGTCAGTTTTCATTACAACTGTTCCTAATACTTCACAATATTTTGCAGGTGCTGGATATTACATTGCGGTTTTTAAAGACATATTTTGAAGTCAACGGAACATAACAGAATAATGTCTGAAGTAAAGATTCCTCCAACACAGAATGAAGCAAGCTGGCCAGCAGCATGAAAACAGAAGTGGGGGATTCCTGCCTACTCTCATGTAGGTTACCTAGTTACATATTTATAAACTGGAATGAACTTCTAATTTCTGAGATTTTAGGTGTAACAATTTAACATACAGAATAGTATTCTCTTCTAAAAATAATCACCACTTTCTTTCTCTCAATCCTTTTTGTTCCCGGAAGTCAAAGTTCATCCATACCTCAGTGTCCCAGGGCAATGGTGTAGTTAAGATGTGTTGGTTTGTTTGGAACATCACATGAAAGAAGCTGATGCTGTAACTGCTTTTTATGTCCATCATATTGTCCATTACTTATCAGATCCCATCATTTTTGGCCAGTAAAAACTATGCCCTGAAATAGTAAATTGCTGTGTTATTCTGAAATCCTTTATTCTATCCTGTGTCACAGACCTCTTTCACCTCTTAAATTCACAAATTTAATGGGAAAAAAAAAAATCATGAACCAAAGTTATAATTCAACTTATCTTGACCAATGAAAAACATTGAACTATCTGCCCTACATCTAACTTTTATCTCATTATTTTTTCAAAATTCCACTTCACACATGTAGAATGTATTTGCATTTTTGAAGTATACAATAAGGATCCAGAAGATACAAGCCCATTTCTTCTTGCTACTTATTTATATTCTTATTATATTATATATATAATATAGTATATATAATATAGTATATATTATATACTTATTTATATTCTAAGACAGCTTCTCTAGCCTTTTTAATTTCTTTTATGAAAAAATGGTGACATAGTTACCCCTAAAGGAGGAAAGAAAAAGTCATGTTAATTTCATGAATAATCATCATTGGTTTTACAGGATAGTAATTGTATAGTGTTCATAATAATAATAATAATAATATATAATAATATAGTGTTAATAATAATTATTATAATAATTATTATAATAATAATATAATAATATAGTGTTCATAATAATAATAATAATAATAAATAATAATTCAAACTAATTAAATCACTCAGCCATCAGTTGTTTTACTGTTTATAAGGAACCATATTAAACCATGTCAGAAGAGATTCAGTTGTGCATTCATGAGTTTTACATTGTTAGTCCTGTGTGTGTAGGCATCTACTACAAGTCAATACATATATATATATGTATTATATATATATATATTTATATATATATATAATAATAACAGCCTTATTTCTTTGTTAATTACACCTTTCTTTTCCATAATGGATCAGGTGTGTCCTTAGTGTAGGATCAGATCCTGATCACTGAGGCAGAATTTGCTCATCACAATGTTCTCAAAAGAAATTTTCACGTGATCAAAAAGAACTCCTCCTGCATGTGTTTAAGTTATGTTTAATGTGGTACAGAGAAGCAGAATAGACACCATATGTGTCAGATTATTTAAACTGTACAATTCATACAGCATTTGAATTCTGTCCAGAGGATTGTCTCTACAAATTTGTACTGTGAAAGAACAAATTTTTGTACTATTAATCCTACATACAACCTTGGCAAAAAGTGTTTGAGCACAGCATTTGTGTGTCTGCCTGGTATTAAAGACCATCATCATGTGATTAGACTTCAACTGAGAAGTGAGAAATTAAACTTTTAAGATAAATCATTTTTGAATTTTCTTTTTAGTTACCGAAACATGGTCAAAAACCTAGTCGTAACTGTACTCTAGGTAGACTTTCTTTGCAGTAGACTTTACTTGGAAGAAACTATATAAAAGAAATGGAATGTCCGTGATCACAAAGACAAAAGACATTCAAAAAGGAGAGAATCAGAGGCATAGAAAAGCTGGGATTCAGAAAAGATGATGTTGAATTCAGAAATGGCTCTGACCCAAATGCTGTAGGATACTCAGATGCAAGGAAACTGAGGAAGGAAATCACATAAATTTGTTTTACTCCTTTAGCTAGGTTATCTTTATTTCTTGTGCCATCTAAGGAAAAAAAAATAGTAGTTTTGTTGATTTTCTTGAAATATGTTTCATTTAGCACTTATCTTTTCAGACATTTACTAGCAACTAAAATGTCCCTGTTGTGGCTTTACACCAAGATTCCATATCCAGAATGTGATGGAGAAGTCAGAAAACAGGAACTACATTGGACTCTGAAAGCTTAAAAACTCTTGGGTCTAATGTGATACAATCCACACAAAAAAAAAAACATAATGCATCTGTCCAGAATTGAAAGTTCAACAAATGCCATGACAATATATTTTTTCAACATATTGCAGCTTTAAATGCAAATAATTACTGCTTTACTCTGCCCCAAAACAAATCAAAACAAAATGAAGAACAAAACAAACCAACCAAAAAAAAAAAAAAAAAAAGAGATGAGGCCATAGAAACCAACTGCTATAGAATATGTTAAAGTTGTACTTGCTATTTTTCATTGACAAAGCTTTTTCTTCCTTTTTTCTTTGTTTTCCTTTCATAAAATCAAAATAATCCTGATTGTGAACAGGAATTGCAATTCCTGTACTTAGAAAAACATCATTCACTGAGAACCACTGAGTAGAAGCTCTTCAGCATGTTACAAGCAAAGTAACTTTGTAGATCAGGCCCTTGCTGATTAATTTCACTCACCTAATTAGTGATGCTTCTTGAAAGAATCATTCTTTTTTGTCCTTTTGCATTGATGGTTTAGGTTAAACCATGCTTATGTTTTCCAGTTACATGTTCTCCAACAAGCGTAACAACAGAATTTACATCTGAAAAGTTCACAAAGCACTGTGTTGCAGAGTGAATTAATCAGTGACCTTTCACTACAAGAAGTGTGCATGTTCTGATAATGTAGCTGAAAGCCCTTCTGGAGGCAGGAGGGAAAAAAAAAATAAAAAATAAATTATAAATTAAAGGAGATTGGGACTGGGAGTCTCATTTTCTGTCTTCTCAGTTCAGGGATGACTATTTCTCACCTTAAAGACTGGTCTTAGCAGGCAATTATTCACCATGCTCAACATATTTAAATGACATAATTGACAACATTTTTTCAAAGGACTGAAGAAACTGGCATGATAAAAGACTTTCTTGCATGACTAGTGTTTGGTCATTCTAGGTCAGGGTTCAGGTGACATGACAGAAAGTCTGGCACCCAAACTTTGAATAAATATAACATAATTCAGCTACAGTGTCTGGTCTTTGAAGAAGAGGTTGCACTCTTTATCATTCTCAGTATTTTGTATATGATAGCCTATATATTATATAGCCTATATTATATTATTATATTATAGCCTGTATTATAAGCATAGAACCACAATTCCAAAAAGTGAGGAAAGAAATTGAGTTTAATTATAAGAATTCAAGATTAAATTATCCTATATAGTCTACATAGACTGGATGGATACTGCTAGTCCAAAGTATTATGAAATAAATTCTACCGAGTGCTGGAGTTTTATTGACTTTCTGTGCCTGTTCCTTTGAAACTGTAAAGGTACATATTTATTGTGTGTCAGTGCTTAAACTTTTCATAGACACAGGCCTATAGATTTTAATTCACACACACACCCCTCTTTTGAAAAGGAAAAAAAAATCTTTTTGGTCCTCTCCTTCTTCATCTTTTCAATTTGAATTTACTTAGAAAGAAACAACTAATAAAAGACTCTCAGCAGTTCCTAAGTCTGTTTCTCAGCTGTGATGACACAATTCAGAAGTTGTTACAGCAAACCCAAAGATCACACTGTACAGAATTCAAGAATGCCAGATAAAATCTACTCCTATATTCCTTCCATGTTCACTTTCATAAAATATCTGAGAAAAAAATAAACAAATAAATACAAGTAGATCTTCCTCTACCTGTAAGGCCACTCTACGATATCATAATTGTATAATCCCAATTGACCTGTTTGGGTTACCTTCCACGGTGTACGTAACAAACTACATAGGCCTTTCTTACACTCATATCATGATTCGTACTAATATCATATGTATAAAGAGGTACTTTTCATGTATCCTATTCCACTGATAGATTCCCTAATCATAGGTGCAGCTTTCCATTTTAGTCTTTAACAGTACTATTCTCACTAAAATTGGTTGCCTTGAAGAATATGATTCCAGAATCCAGTTTCCCTTCAGAAGGATGTGGAACACCAGTGGCCAAGTCAAAACCTAAATTAATTATTCATTTGTATTTTGTATTTTATTTTATTTATTCCTACTGTTCTAATCTTCAGACACAACCAACTCATCTCAAATTCTTTTCTATATCAATTCCACAAAACTTGTCAGACTGTATTTTAGTTGAATTCTGCTGCTTTTTCTGTCAAGGTAATCTGTGAAAATAGGTTGTCCCAAAATTTCTTGTACTTGTTTTATATGTCAAGTACACTAGTGATTTAACTCTGAATTTCCTGTGTAGCACCATAGCAAATGCTTCATGGAAATACATACAGCTTAGTAATACTATACTTCCTCTTTCTAGAACATCACTAAGTTATCCAAGAATGATAGTGGCACAGTCTGTCCTTTCTATTACATATCCTTTTTTTTTTTTTTTTTCTCTTTTTTCTCTCATGCATGTGACTAAAAAACCTCTTAGCAGTACTTTAAATATCTTTTGGATGGTCTAAATATCTTGAATCCTTGAATTTTTTCCTCTCCAAGCCCCTAAAGTATATCTCTCCCTGATATTCATTCCCATTCTCTTCAGCCTTTCTGAGAGCATTATTCATCCAAGTACTTCTGGATTTCATAGTCTTTTTTCCCCCTTTCCTTGGACACGACTGAGATAGTTTCTTTAATTTTCCATTATGAACATGCCAAGGTTTTCACTCAATTTTTGCTCCAAGCTGAATGAAATTAAGCGATTTCAGGAACTTTCTAACATTGTCTTTTATTTTTTTTTTTTTTCCCTATGAAATGGGAATGCACTACCACAGGGACTACTTTTAGTTTTCCATTTAATTTCAGCTGAATGATACCTTAGATGCCTTAATCCATGTCCAATGGGGGAGGGGGCTATTTACAAAGAATTTTATAATTTTCTTCAGAATTCAGATACATTGTGAATTCTTGCTGGCTTAACAGTTATTTCATAATTAATATGTCAGCAATCATACCTACAAATAAGTAGGAATTTACATTCTTCCTACCAATTTTCTAACAGATATAAACGAACTTTTGAAATATTACAATAAATACTGTATGAGAGTTACACCTCTTCAGTAACATTACTTCTAATGTGATCCAAAACCAAAAAGTCCATAACTTAAGATCAGTGGCTGTACCCTAGTAGATATTTAATACAAAGATGAAAGTTCTAATTTCTCCAAACATAACCCAAACATTTTCCCAAACAAATTTCCCTCCAAGGGAACTAGAATTTGCTGATCTACACAATTTCCTCAAATGCTGAGCTGTCTTAGTAATTTTAGGATGAAGACCTTACTACTTTAAAGAAGCTTTGTTTTTCTTGTACTTTTAATATTCAATCCACAAAGCATCTCCTGACTTTTGTTTGACACAATGTTTTTCTTAGTCACAGTACCTAAAATTCCTCAGCAATGTAAACTCTAAGGAAAAAAGTCTTTTTCATTGTAAAGGCCAATCACTCCATAGAATTTTCCTTCTCCTAGCATGAACTCCATACTTTTCACCTCACAGATCATTAGACTTAGAAAAGAAATAATCTAGATAATCATTATGGGCTATATCCATACTTAATGACCCACAGAAAGTTACTGAGCTCAGTTACATGGCTGACTGACCTACTCACGAAAAGGGTCATCCACAAAAGGGAAAATATTTTAATTCTCTAGGTGGATCAGAGCTCTGATGATCCTCAAGGGAAAGCGGAGTACAAGCTACGCTCCTCATATGTGTATCTAGGTTAACTTTAAAACAAATACTAGTAGAAGGTACAAAGCAGCTTCTACTTCCATCTTCTGTTTTCTCTTGGTTTTCTTAAAGAAATATCTTCAAATTCTCTGAGGATACTTATAAGGATTTTAAGCTTATTACTTTTATTGCACAGAATCATTATTAATCGGAGGATGTGAACACCAAGTTCTAAATGTCAGAAAATATTACTGAGAGCAGAAAAATACTTTATCTACCCAGCCACTTAGGCAGAGGTTTCAGATCTCTTAAAGTAACATATTGCACAACTGTTGAAAAAATTCAGGTTAGGATGCCAGTGATTATAAGGGATGATTCCTTTTCTGGTCCTAAAATATCTTCCTGCTCTATTCATGCTTGTTAAATAGATAAACAATAGCTGGGTCCCTCATATGCTAGTTTTAACATCAGTATTGAATACAATGTTTTTATGGAGAGCTCTTCTGCTGTTTAAAAATGGTTCTGCCAGTAGTCTTTCTGCTTTGGGTACAAAGAAATTGGTTTCACTTTTCTCTAGTGACAGATTTTTTTTCATGGATAGGCTTGAAACCAGTAGTTTCTAATATTCAGAATGAAACATTATTTTGCTCATTGATCATAATACATCTTCTATTCAGTATTCAATTAGTGATAGACTGGGAAGATAGTAGCATGGCAATTTTGGCCTGACAGGAAGTCATAACGCTTCTGTTGTTTTAAAGGTAGCTTTAGCTTCTCCCTTAACATCTAAAGAGGAAAGTGTGTTTTGATACTTACCCTTTATGGGCTTCTGTCACCTTACCTGCTATATCTACTTCAGTTAAATTATAATATTCTAAATTGTTTTTACTTTGAACTCCAAGACATCATAAATAAGAAGCTTTGTGAAAATTCTAATCTAGAAGGAATGCATTTTCAAGCTATATGCATGCAAGAGTATAGGAGGAGATAGGAGACAAGATTCAGTATAAATATATTTTTTTAATTTTAATATGGATATAGATAGTTATTAACTTACTTCATCATCAATTTTTTGGTGTGAATCCCTCATAACCTTTAAGTTATATAGGAGTAGTAGCTCTGTTTCTTTCTTCTTAGTCAGTCCCTGTAAGAAATTACAACTTAACTGCCTTCATAAATAGCAAAAGTTAAAATTAAAGAATTAATTTCTTTTTTGAGAAACATGACACTAGAAATGTAAAATTGGGCTTAGTGAAAGTGCTTATATGCCTTAAAAACTTTGAAAGCACCAGACACTTCCCACTGAACCAATAGCCTATCAGTTTCTGGGGCATATATGTATACACACATACACCCATGCACATGCATATACATATGTATGATACACACAGGCACCAAAAGCTGTATGTGTGTATATATTATATGTATATATGTATGTTCATTATTACTATATTTTTTACTTCAGAACATCAAATATTTGAGGAAATGATTTACAACAGTTTAGAATTAGTATAAATATATAATTCATTTCAACTTGTTCCTAACAGTAATAGATGGTGATAAACATCTTGCAGTCAAGGTAAATCACTGAAAGAGTTGTTGAGTGGAGAGCTGCTGCAATGATTTCATTCTAGTCCAAAAAATGACATCAAGACAATCATTAATCTAAATTTTCTCATTCTTTTTTTCTTTTTTTTTAATTATTTTTTTTTGTCCATTATAGTATAATATTATATACTATATTATATAAAATATATAACATAATATGATAATATAAATCATATTATATATAAATATAAATTATAATATATTATAATAAAATAAATATTATATATTTATATACATTATATTATATATAACGAATTATAAATATGAATATGAATTATATATAAATATTAATTATAATATAATGATACTATATTATATAAAATATGTAATATAATATAAGGATACAAAACTACCAAAAACCTCTTTCCACTGTACTTTTAAATTTTTATTTACCTGTTTTTGAAAAATATGCTCCTAGAGTAATCTCGAGACACACACATAATAGGGAGAAAAAGACTATAGGTATCTACAGTAATCAAGTTAAAATTCCAGTTTGATGTTTGATTTGTCTGTCTCTCATCACATTAAACTATATCAAGAAATAATAATAAAGATGTTTACTTACTTAACTAAGCCTTTTCTTTAGTTTTAAGCACTAGATATTAATATAATAAAATTGTTCTTTATTCCTGTCAAAAAAGCTTGGAGTCCTGTGGGCAAACTTCATTGCAAGCAGGAGTGAGCGAGTTCTATTTCAGATGGCAGGCAAGATTTTAGACTTCTAAAGACTAGAAAATTTCATTACAACCACTGTGCCCACATTACTATGTAAATGAAAACATTTCAGAGAGGTTCAGAAAGACGTGGTAAGGGCTGTAAAGTTCAGAAGGCAATTTCATTGCTAACCTTTAAGGTCATGGTAGTCCATTACTGAAGTATTAGGTAACACTTGTATTTGATAAGTGGATTGGACACATATTATTTTATTGTTACATGAACAGACATCAGCCTTATCTAAATAACTTTTACATGAATTACATTTTCCTTTATTTTGCTAATGATTTTTTCCTTGAAATTGATCAAGAACACTAGAGAGAGATTTTTGCTGTTGTTTCATGAACTACTAAAAACATTTAGTCTATTCCTCCTTTTGTGTAGGCCACAGCATCAAAATTATTTTTTTTATTCTAATACAATGGAAAGCAATGAAACAGCATTGTATATTTATTGAGTTTAATCTAGGATTAAATTACTACTACATTAAAAATAAATAAAAATTAATATATATATATCCTGCTATAAATTATAGATATCTTCTAGATACCCTTCCATTTCCTTTTATTCCATCTACCAGGTGAAATATAAAACATGTCCTTGAAAACACAGGACTGTATATGCTGCAATGGTAAATGTTCAAAACAGTATGTTCAAATCAGTTGTCTGGATTCTGGAATCATCAAAGGACTTGTTCTCCTAATTCACAATAAATTGCACAACAATAAATTATTACTATTTGTAGCAAATGCTCAGAATTTCATCTCCTTTGCAATTATTTCTGCTAAGTGTTATGATTTATTTATTTATTTATTTAAGGGTAGGATTAAGCACACTAAGTGAACATTTAGTTGTGATGCATCTGTGCTATACCAGGTTTATGAGGCAAGGTTTTGGAAGAGGCAGGTCTCTGTGAGCAGAGCCCAGCAGCTGCCCCATAGAAGAGCAGAGTCATCTCCAGCCAGCTGTGAAAGGGACACACCGCTGGCCAGAGCCAAGCCTGTTGCTAGTTGGGCCTCTGGGAGAGCAGACTGAAGAAAAGGAATACAGCTGTGAAACAGCAGTAAGTTCCCCTGTGGCCTGTGGAGAGGCCCCCAGTGGAACAGGCTGTCCCCCTGCAACCCATGGGTCGCATATGGAGCAGATCTCCAGGCTGCAGCCCATGGAGGAGCCCCTGGTGGAGCAGGTGGATGTGGCCTGGAGGAGGCTGCAGCCCATGGAGAGCCTGCCCAGGAGCAGACCCCAGGCCGGAGCTGCAGCTCATAGAGAGCAGGGGGCAGAGGGTCTGGGGGGAGCCGATGCCCGTGGGGGACCCATGCTGGAGCAGTTTGCTCCTGATGGATGAACCCTAGGGTACAGGCCCCATTTATGAGCAGCTGTTGAAGAGCTGCTGCCTATGGGAAGCCCATGCATTATCAGTTTGGGAAGGACAGCATCCTGTGGGAGGGACCCTACACTGGGACAGGGGCAGGTCCACTCACTGTGGACACAGAAACTGATGAAATGGAACCTTGTTCCACCCACCTGCCAAGGCAAACTACCCACCTAGACATAACAGGTTACCTGGTGCAGTGGGTTTACGTGGCAAGGTTTTGGTAGCAGGGGGCCACAGGGGTGGTTTCTGTGAGAAGGATCGAGAAGCTGCCCCATGTTTGGTAAGGGCCCCACTGCTGACCAGAGCCGAGACAATAAGCAAAGTTGTGTTGCGCCTCTGTGAGAGCATATTTAAGACAGGGAAAAAAAGCTGCGCCACACAGCAGCTGGGAGAGTGAGAGGAGTGAGGAACAGCCTTGCAGGCGCCAAGGCCAGTGAAGAAGGAGGGGGAGAGGTGCTCCAGGCACCGGAGCAGAAGTCCCCTGCGGCCTGTGGTGAGGACCAAGGTGAAGCAGGATGTCCCACTGCAGCCCATGGAGTACCACGGTGGAGCAGGGTTCCATGCTGCAGCCTGTGGAGGAGACCACGGTGGAGCAGGTGGACCTGCACCAACGGTGGCTGCTGCCTGTGGAAGACCCCTGCCGGAGCAGACTCCGGGCCGGACCTGTAGCCCATGGAGAGGAGATCACGGAGGAGCAGGTGACCTGGCAGGAGCTGCTGCCCATGGGGGACCCAGGTTGGAGCAGTTTTCTCCTGAGGGATGGACCCCGTGGTATGGACCCATACCTGGAACAGTTCTGGAAGAGCTGCTGCCTGTGGGAAGCCCACGCCGGATCAGTTCATCAAGGACTGTATCCTGTGGGAGGGACCCCACTGCACAGGGGACGAGAGTGACCAAGAAGGAGCGGCAGAGAAGAAGCGCTGTAGACTGACCATAACCCCCATTCCCCCATTCCCCTGCGCCACTCGGGGGGAGGAGGTGGAAGAGGGTGGATGGCGGGGGGAAGGTGCTTTTGGTTTCTTTCCTTTGTTTCTCGCTTCTCTAGCTTGTTAGTAATAAGCAATAAATCTTACTATCTCCCTATGCAGAGTCTGTTTTGCCCGTTACAATAATTACTGCGTGATCTTCTTGTCCTTATCTCAACCTTTGAGCCCTTTTCATCGTATTTTCTCCCTGTTCCTCTTTGAGGAGGGGGAGTGAGAGAGTGGCTGTGGGGGAGCTTGGCTGCCCACTCGAGTGGAACCACGACACCTGGTCACCACTTAAGAACTGTTATAGATGATACTAGTCATAACACATGTGTTGTTTATTCTGGAAAATAGGGTGCACTAAGTACCTTTTCTCAATTAGTCAACTAGGTTCAGGAAGGTATCTTTGCCTTATTTCCCAGCAGCAGAGGACAAAATTGTGTCTTTCTTCATATCTAAGATTTTACCACATTTAAACACTTTGCAATGTTTTCTACTATGCTTCCATATTTTTAACCTAGTTTCAAGAATCATGCCTTACTGTCTCCCCCCGCCTGACTGACCCAAAAAGAAACATCTTTCTTCTCATGTTACCTCTGCCTCTATGGTTCTATAAAAGGGGCTTGATGAATGCAGGAAGGCAGACACACAGAACAAAAGCTCTTATAGAATACCTCCTTTTCCATTTTAGTGAAGACTGAACTTCAGAAAACCCAAGCTGAAATATAAGAAGCTTAACTTCCAATTATTCCTATGTTTGACCTAGAGCTGAAAAGTAGAAACCATTATATTTTACAGATCCTTGCCTTACTCACATTCAAGTCAGATTACAGTTGCTTGAACTTATATTTTAGTTCCTGGGGCCTCTTATGGGTCCTGAACAGTAGGCAATAACTGGAATGCAATGTAGTCCACCCCACTCCACCTACCAAACATTCCCATTTTCTCCAGTCACTCTGGGGAGGAGAAATTTTCCAATTAGAAGCATTTGTCAAGTCCATACTCCCATTCAGTCAGGGAGTACCCTTGTGCACAAAGAATTCAGTTGGCATTTTCTCATTTTATAAAGGTCTCTTTTATTCCCACTAGAGAACTCAATAAGCAAGATTAATACACACACAATTATGAAGTTTTCAGACTTAAATCCAATGGGTTTTATTTTATTAGTTGTACAAATCTGTATGTATTTAATGAGTCATTTCCTGGGAAGGTGGTAGAAGGAAGAATGCTTGGGGAAAATACTGTAATATCTAACAAATATTTAGGTTAACTTCTATTTTAATTCTCTGTTATGATTGATTATTTTTTTTTAATCTACATAGAATATGTACTCTTTTCTAAATAGATTAAGGTCCTAAAGGTAACCCATTTATTTACTTATTTTACTTCTGTTGAAAATGTTTTTTTCTCAAATTCCCTCATAGCTCTGATGTAACATGTAACAAAGAGGGGTCCTTTTCTCCTTTATTACTGGGAAGTGTATCCTGCTGCTTCCTCTGCTGAGTCTGACTTAAAACTTTTCTTTGAAACTAGTCTCTGGCTTAAGTCATAGTTGTAACTTTTGACCTATCAATCAACCAATGCTAAGGAAACCACAGTTCACACAGAAGCATGGGTTTTGCAAAATCAGACAACAAAAAAAGTACCTGCATTATTATGGGACATAATGTTATCAGGTATTTTTTGCTAAAATATTTTTTAAAATATATTTAAATCTGGTATTTAAAGGACACTTCCTTAATTCTGTACTTCCTACAGAAAAAAGCAAAATGTAACTGTACAAATTAGTCCAACAACTCTCCTAATTTCAGTAACCAGAAATAATATGCTTCTTCCGATATGTTTCTAAGGTTAAATCTGTTGTTTTGTTTTGTTTTTTTTCTCTCATACAGGCTGAGATTTCTGCAAATATGTCCCTGACTACTATGCTGGGAATATTAATCCCCAAACACAAAACCTCGTTAATAATAATAATAATAATAATAATAATAATAATAATAATAATAATAATAATAATTTTTTTTAATTTAGGACAACAACATAAATTAATACCTCATTAGGGTTAGGTCAAAAGCCTACCTATGTTTAATTTAATCTGAGATTGCTTCTGCTTTATCTATTGCTGTGCTAGTTCATAATCAAGAACAAGCACAGTCAAGGATCAGGAAAGAACAGACTGAAATCAAAGTCATTCAGGTGATTCAAAGACAATTAGAAGCTACACAGGGGAGGCTTCTAGCAGAAATTTCTAGTTGTGGAGGAACTCCCTGGCAGCATAACCATAACCAGATTTTCTAAAAAATTCAAAGTTATTTTCTGTTTTTCAAAAAGATATTAATAGACATTAATGCAAAGCACACATAATACACAGAATAATGAACTAACTTAATAAATAAAAAAATAAGTAAGAGAAGTATTGTGAACCGTCGTATAGTACTTTTGTCCCAAATCCATAAAGTATAAGGTCTACTTCCTTGAAAAGAATATTCTCTACAAAGACTACTTCTGGATGAACCACAAGCATCTTATATGACAATAAAAAAGCTGCTGTGTTCTTTCCCTCAATGAACAGAGGCTTCACTTCATTGGAAAAAGCCTAGCTTTGAATAGCTGTGGAGGAACTAGAGTGAAGGCATACAACAAGGGGTGCTGATCTCAGGCCTTATTTGTTTCATGTGACCTGTTGCACTATGTGA